TTTAATTTAAATTGTTATTTATCAAATTATAAAAAAAAATTATTTTGATTTTTTTTAAATTAAATTATATTTTGATTTTATTATTAAAAAAAAATAAAGATGTGTTAATATAAAAAACAGTTTTCTTTTATAAAATATTAAAAAAATAGTTGATTTTAAAAAAATTTTTACAAGTAATTTATTATTTTAATAAGTTATTATATATTTGATTACTATATAAATTAATAAAATTAAAATGATTTAAAAGATTTAAAATAAAAGATTATATAATTAATTATTATCTATATAATTTTCAACAAAATTTTTAATTCAATTCTTAAAGATAAACTTGAATTTATTAATTTTTTTTCAATTAATAAACTTTATATTTTATTAATTATTAATAGTTAGAAGAATTTTATATGTGAATTTTTATTTTTATTTAAAATCTTAATAAAAAAATAAAAAATATCTTATTATTTTTTAACTTATTTTAATAGACATTGTTGTTAAATTAACAAATAATTTTTTAATTTTTTTAATTTTTTTAAAAATTAATAACTTTAATATTGATTAAAAACATTCTAATTATAGTATTTGATTAATTATTTAGTTAAAAAAAATTTAATTTTTTATTTAATATATCTAATATTTATATTTTATTTATTTATTAAAATTAAAAATTAAAAAAGAAACAATTTATTTTATTATTAAAAAAATTTTGATTTTTTATTTAATATACAATATCTAATATTTATTTTTAATTTATTTATTAATTTAAGATAAAAAAAAAAATTTGATTATTCAAAATAAGTTATTTAAACAATTAAGTAATATTTTATTTGTAAAATTGTAAAATATAAGATAAAGTAAACCAGTATTTAAAAATTTTAAAAAATTAATTTGTTAAATATAAAAATATATATATATATATTTATAGAAATAAATATTTTATTTTATATAAATTACTTATATTATTAAAAAATAAACAAGAAATTTTTATTGTTAATTTAACTTTGCTTATAAAAGTAATTAGAATATTTAATTATTATATATTATTTATTAGATACTATTATTATTTTTTTAAATATTATGAAATATAATTTTCTAAAAAATTAATGATAATAATGATTATATTAATTTTTGAAAAAAACAAATTATTTATCTTTTTTTTTAAAAAATTTTTTAAAAAAAAATCAATTCAAACTTATTATTTGTAAAAAGTTACTAATTTTAATATTATTTCTTGACAAAAAAATCAACTGATCAAAAAAGTGATAAAATGAAAAACAATATTTTGAAAGAAAAAAGATTTAGAAAGGAAAATTTTAAAAGAAATAAAAAATTTAGCTTTGATAAAAAGGAAAATAAATATATATATATATATAAGTATATAAAAGTTTTATACAGAAAAATAGAAAAAAAAAATAATAAACAACTTAAAATTTTTTTTAGAAAATTTCGAAGTGTAGAAAGGAAAAGTGAAAAAGAGTTTTTTTTGAGAGGTTTAAAAATTATTTGATTATATTGTTTATTAAGATTAAATTAAAAATTTTTAGTTTTATCCATAGATTAATAATTAACAATAAATAACGAATTTGTATTTCATAAAAATAAGTTATTTATAATTAATATAATCTACTGTATATACTGTATATATAAGTTTCGAGATAGTGCGTGCAGTCTGATTAGGAGTAAAATAAGTTTAGAGATAATATAATCTCTACATACGGTACGTCGTAAATATTTGATATTAATTCGCACACAAATTTACAAATTTGATTGAGTATTAATATATAAAATCTACTGTATACAAACATCAAAAAAAAAGATTGCTTAAAAATGAAAAAATATTTTATTATTACATATGTAGTATTTCATGTTTAGTTTAATTAAAAAATCAATAAAAACTATTTTATGATTGAGTTAAATCAATAATTTAATTTTAGTAAAAAAAAAAAAACTCCTGTCGATACATAAACGCTTCTCATTATTATTTTACTATTTATTAGGTTATGATACATTTTATCATAAAAGTAAATTAAGGTAATTAATATCGAAACAGGAGTTATCGCTGAATAATAATAGTTATTTTCAGACATGTAAAAGTATACCGTATATTTATATTTATATTATATTTTTTAGAGAGTAGAAATTATCCCAAAGATTTTTTAATTTTGGGGGGTATATAAACTATTTAAGCTTGGAAAAAAAAAAAACAAAAAAATCAAGTATTTTGAAATTGAAAATTAGAACCAGGTACGTGGGATTTTTCATTATAGACAGTAGGTAATTATAATTGTTGTAATCTTGTAATTACAGATAGTACATATAAAAGGAAATTTTATATAATTTATATATATTTTTATTTAAAAGAAAAAAAAACGAGTTCACAAATAATGATGTAATCATTGTTAGTATAACCATTTTTCATAAATGAATTTTTCGTTAAAGGCGAGTACAATGCTTAGCTAATTTTTTTTGTGATTTTGGACATATTTAGCAAAAGTGGCATTTTTTTTCCCACTGTTCACATTACCATATTTGGTTTTATACGCAACCTCCGAGGTTGGTTACTTTATAAATGAACAATTCTAATTTTATTGATAAATCGGAATAATACTTTTTGTTTTTTAGTGGTGCAATTTTTTGCGAGCTTAAAGATTATGCTGTATGTTTCCTCGTAACACGGTATGGTAGCTTTCACGAGATCATTGACGTGCACATTTCTTTTAAAATGCCATAAATACTAACTTCATACAATCATCCGTACAATTGTTACTTTAAAGGGTTACAAAGAAAAGGCTTACGCTAAAGTGCATGCAGCAAGGTTTTCATAACTTCGGAAGTTGATCGTTAAGTAGATTAGTTCTATAATAACAATAAAAAAGAAAAAGAAAAAAAAGAAAAATTAAACGAGTTGGCGATTGCACTTCGCCGCACGAATCATGACATCGCTCTCTTGAGAACTATGAAAAAAAAAAAGAACTTTTTAATATTGTTTCATCTCATAGCCATTCTTCTTGTTTGTTTATTTTTAACTTATTATGTCAATACAACATTCTCGCTGCCGCCCACTGGAATTCAGCTAATATGCACTCCCAATGTGTATGTCACTGCCTTTCTATTGTCATCGATTAATCATTGCCTTTTCTTTTCTCCTTTCCTTCCCTTTTTTTCATTTTGAGATGTTTGTTTCTTCCGCAACGAATTTACCATGCATCTTTTTCATTCTGCTTTAATTGGATTAAGGAGGTCACAATCAAAATATTTTGAATTGCCAGATGACACTAATGCACGAAACGGTTAACGCGTTGACCTAATTCCTAATTAGTTATGATTGAATGCGCATCCTTTATTATTTTTCTAATAATGAACATATCTAGAATTTTTCTGGTAATGCGACTGTACGCTTCTTTCTGTAATATTTATCTTAAATTACACGTGATCAAAATCCCTGTTATTTCGTGTGTAACAACATAATTTAATTAACGTGAGACATAATAACAATATAACAATGCAAAATATTCAACAGTACATTGGGATTGCGTAAAGTGCGCCTTCAAAGTAATATATAACCCGATCGATCGTACAGCATCTGGATCATCACTGCGTTAATATTGGATTTATAAAAGGGTAGATATCTGTTTTCTATTTGGGTTAGGCGAGAGGTCAGGCTTATATAAGTGAGAAAATTTGTATCGAAATATACGCGACCACTTTAACCTATTATATTACGTTGTCTTGATTTTACGTTACACTTGGCGAGTTGGGCAGCAAGAAATACTGGCGACAGTACATAAGAGTTCATTTTAAAAAAATATTATTGCTGGGGTACTTTCTAGTTTAAGAATAATGATAATTCCCTTGCACGCACGTACCTAATCTGTTATTTGAACCTGACATATAGCTCCTTACGTTAACTTATTTGTTAATTGCCTGTATAGTCAATGGTATGTCAGAATGCCTAGTGTTTTTAACTTACATAACGGATACAATGCATAATGCGACAGGCTAGACTAATGAAAACTTTCTTTGATTTGTCAAAGACAATACATCCAGTGAATTACTTTTTTGTGTATTCCTTGTGTTACATTAACTCGCACAAAAGGGGAAACCGTTTTTCGGACAATATAAAACTTATGCTGATAACAATATTAATGTTTGAATAATATCCGACGAAAGAATATGAAAATCCTATCATTTATATCATTTATGCAAAATAAAGACGTCGTTCTGGTTTGATAATATATCCAAAATCCGAAAGATCTCTTTTATTCATTTTACAATATACGTAACCTGATAATACCTGTGAGGTTTTTGGGGGGAGGCACAATTTTCGGTCGTTTCACGGCCAAGCTGACGAATGGTCTACTGTTAAACTTTCAATTATCCACACATATTATATATACTCTTTGGGATTTAAATGCACCTAGTACATTATCCACACAATCCAAATATGGGTCTTAATGTGAATGTTACATTGTGGAATGTTTAACGTGTGACGACTACGCAATAACAGGATAATGCAAAAAAAAAAAATAATAATAATTGTCTCATTAACATAACATGAAAACAATCTGAATTTTTGAATCCCGCCATTGCTTATCGCCAGTCACATCCTTCCAAAATTTGACGACCTTTCCAAGTTCTCGTTTCTAGTTACGACTGTAGGCGAAAATGAAAAATTATTAAAGACCACCGGTTTTCCCAAACAATACACAATTCACAAAAAATTCTCTTCTTTTTTCAAATTTTCGATCGTCTTTTTTTTTTTTTTATTACCTTTTACTCTTTAATCCACCGAGAAGAACATCTTAATTCAAGTCTTTGAAAGATTTTGAATTAATTTACTGTATTAATTTTTTTTTTATAATAAAAGAAGCGAATTTACATTCCCCTTTACTATTTAACATTTCACGCGAGTCAATTTTTGTAAAATAATAATCCTCACTTTTTTTCTACTTAACGAATTTACAAATTACTTTTTTTCTTTAATTCTCACTTGTAAAAAGTTCACGATGTCTCATACAACAAAAGTAACCTCGTATAAAACTCCCATTTCACGAGATGCTCGTATCGGTATAATCGGCGCCGGACCTGCTGGAATTTCGATGGCTCACTTTCTCCGCAAAGAAGGCTACTCAAATATCACCCTACTAGAATCCTCCTCTCACATAGCCGGAAAAAGTTCCACATTTACACACGAAAATCGAAATTACGATGTTGGAGCTCTAATGATAGGTCACAACTACACAAACATAAGATCCTTGGCCGAAGAATTTAATTGTCCAATGGAGAAGTTTAACGGAAGTTCACTGGATTTCGATTCTAACAAATTCATAATGGAAAATGTTGATCAAATTGGAATTCTCACCAAACCTTTCCTGGAAAACATGACCCACTATCTGGAGGAAAGAAAAGCTTTTGAAGACGTTTCGTTGCCGGGTCACGGTGACCTCTCGGAAAATATGCTGTACGCACCAATCAAGCAATACCTGAAAGACCGAAAGATGGAATATTTACTGGATGCATGGAACCTAGCTTACACTTCAGCCGGTTATGGTTATGTCCAAGATGATATACCTGCTGCCTATTTCTTAAAATTCATACAAAATTCAGAGAATACCATCTGGTATTTCAAGGACGGCTTCCAAAACTTTTGGTCTAAATTGTGCGAGGTAAGTTTTACCCTGGCGGCGCAGTTTTTATCATGTGAACTCGTTCATTTTCTAATTGTGGTTTTCTCCTCTAGGGTTTTAATGTGATGCTAAATTCGAAGGTAATCTCCATCGATCGCTCTCTAAAACGTCAAAACCTCGGTCCGATACTGGTCACCAGCAAAAACTCTCAAACCAACTTCCAACAAACCTTGGCATTCGACCAAATCATTGTCGCAACAAATCCACGACAATTCGAACAATTCCTTAATAATCCCTCACCATTGGAAACGTCACTCTTCTCACAAATCATCACACTCGATTTCTACACCATAATAGCTACAGTTGAAGGTTTGCCCACAAAGGTTGGCATGACTACCATACCCAAGCATTGTTTGGACAAAAAATATGAGGGCCACATTACCGCTTACTATTGCGCCTACGAAGGAGTGTCAACTTATTTGTTTTATGCCTATGGAAGTAAGGAGATTGGCCAGGAGAAAGTGACTGAAATATTCAAAGAGGACCTGATACACATGGGTGGTGACCTGAAGGAAATTCATTACAATCAGCACTGGGATTTCTTTCCTCATGGTATGTTCAAGACGTTCACCACTGTCAGTTCCGTCATTCGTTAAATGATATTCATTCCATTTTATTTTTTCGTTTCACAAAGTATCATCGCTCAGTATGGCCAGGGGTTTCTATAGCAAAGTTGAAAACATGCAAGGTCAAGACGGTACTTTCTACGCCGGAGGCTGGCTTGACTTTGAGCTTACCGAAAACTGCGTCTCTTATAGTCGTGACCTCGTCCGCCGTTTCTTCAATCTTTCCGGTGCATCGCAAGCAGAAATCCGTCACCTACCAATTCGCCCGAAGTACGATGTCAAACCCGCTTCGTCCACAAACTGGGGTACGGTGTTACGTGTGGCCGCCAAACGATTCCCCGATCGAACAGCATTTTCTTGGGTTGACGTGAATATGAGAGAGGAAGCCAGTATAAGTTTCTCCGACTTGTATCGACAAGCCCGTGCCGTTGCTCAATATCTGCGATTTACCGAAAATCATAAAGTTGGTGATCCGGTGTTGCTCTGTTATTCGCCGGGTCTCAAATTCCTACCTGTCCTGTTTGGATGCATGATGGCCGGTGTCATTGCCGTGCCTATCGCGCCACCAAATCTCGCCACCGCCGAAAAAGATATTGCCAGATTCAAGTATCTGTCCGAAGTCACCGGTGCAAAGCTAGTTTTCAGCGATAAGAATTATATGCTCTACACACGACTCTACGCCGCAAAAAGTCTCTTGGGACTTGGCAAGAAGATCGACTGGCCTGATCATTTGACCTGGGTCGAATGCGAAAAGATCACAAAGTCTCGTGATCTAATAGACGAGAAACTGATAGAACAGGTGGATTGCGACAATGTTGCAGTGCTGCAGTTCTCCTCGGGCAGCACGGGAGATCCCAAGGGCGTCATGCTCACACATAAGAACTTACTGCATAATGTGGATTTGATGCAGGC